CTGTGTTCAGTGACATCCTAGTAGCTGGAAATTAGCCATGGTGGGAGCAGTTACACCATGGAGACTGGCAAATGCTACAAATCACGTGCTTTCTGTTCTCAGAGAGCTTGTTAAACGTTTGAGCAGTAGACCAGCGGTAGCATGCCGGGCAGATCAAAGGAGAAGCTAGTTCTGTATCTGGGCGACATGGTACCAACCCAGTCTCTTTGGGGGTTTCCCCAAGGCTGCTTCCTGCCCAGGGGCTCCTCTTCCACTGATGTCACCAAGTACCGCAGAACCTCAGAAGGGCATGTGCTTCTGGGGTGCATTTGGCTAGCCTTCTGCGCCCTGCTGGGCTCTAGGCTCTGAGATGTTTCCCCTACTTGGTAGCTACGAGAGCGAGGTGGACCAGAACCAAACAGGTCAAGTGCCTGCAATTCCGATTAAGGTCCTGATCTGGCAGCTGGCTTCGTGCTGCAGAGGCTGGAGAATAATGATTCCCTCGGTAGGAACAGGCTAGCCACAGCTGCAAGCGTCCACGGGGGCATTCTTTCTTCAGGAGGGTTCCCAGCTGGTCTGCATGCGGCAGCTCACCAGCAAGCGCTGGTGGGCCCTGGGGGTGCTCCCCACAGCATCCTGCCAGGGGCCTGGTAGCAGGCTTCCTGGGTCTCCCCCTTCCCTCCGCAGAGTCTGGTATGAATCAAAGAGCCAACAAAATTGAGGTCACTGGCAAAAGAGTTTGAAATTTTGAATGATTTTTATTAAACACCATTAGTCTACACTGCACAGTTAATGAAACAGCAAAGCTCCAATCTCTTAGAAGAACGATGATTGATCATGGATCGGAACAGCAGTTCCGTGTCCCCTAAACCCATTGTGAGCCTGATGAAGGAGTTATTACCATCTCAGGTCAGAAGCAGAAAGGGGCGAGAACTGCAGCCTGGACTGGAAGGGCTTCCCTACCCGCTACCCCCGGCCCCACCCGCCTCGGCCCTCCCCACAATGCAATTTGCTTTGAGTTGATGGATTACAGAGGGAAACGTGATGCTCTTGGGAAAGGGGGTTTCTAGACTTGTGAGGAGGGGAACGGAAAGGGAACTCATACTTTTTCTTTCCCCGAAAATATCAGATGGTAGGATTAATGTCTGAGACCAGCCTATCCGATTAGCCTCCTGCCAGGGTCACTCACTGCTGACCGTCAATACACAGATGCCAGTTCTGTCGCTGGAGTTTGCAAACACTGAAGAGCAAATGAATCAGAGTTCCATCATGAGAATAAGGCTGTGCAAGTGGGAATGAGAACAACAACAACGACAACGACAACGACAACCAAGAAGAATTTAGTCCGCCAGTCGCATAATAGAGCGAGCGACAACGGGCGCCATATTTGTTCCCCACAGAACTGAATTTGGGGGCACGGAATCGACCCATCCATTCAATGTTGTGTAGCTCTAGTGTCTCGCCACACATTTTCTCCATGGGGAGAGTGATGCCTCTCTAAGCAAGCAGTTCATTGCCTTACTGAGTAGTCCTACCCAGTGATCCAGTTTGCTGTCTCCCACCTGCCACTCACGCAGGTGAAATCTTATCATGTCTGTTGAGAAGTACGTGAGGGCTCCTCCCTCACAGCTAAATCAATTCTGCCTTCAGAAATGCTTTCCAACTTCATTTTCCAACTTCAACCTCCGGGATGCGAATTTGAATAAAACACAATCCAAATTAGATAGCTCTGGGAAAGATACCGAGAGGACAAGTATCTTCCCACTGAAGACCCAATCCAATGCAATCTAGCAAGGTGATGTCCAAAGGAAAACCCACCATTTGGAAACTCAACAAAACACATTTTAGCCAATGGTTTTGAATCAAGCAACTTGGTTATTGATTGGAGATTTGAATCGTTTGATGTCATTACGTGGAAAAAAGGCATCCCAATCTCAAGTCTTTGAAAAGTTATCAGCAGCTAATCTGCTCTTCCAATTCTGTCATCCAAATAGAAAACTACTAGTATTTTCCCAATGACATTATTAAGTCATTAACAGTCTACAGGCTGGCTAACAACATGCTCACGGCTAAATCCTACCCCGAGGACCACACTAGTATACTCTTTTCAAATTAATCCTACCTACCAAACTCAGACAGTAATATGACAAAACCACTAAAAAATCCAAGGTTAATTAAAATACAAAGCCAAGCCAACATCATAACACAAACTTGTCAAACTCTCTGTGGTTGGAGCTTGGGTGACAAGTGAAGGCATAGTGGTGGCCCTACGGGGGTCCCGTTGGCAGGGCTGAGATCCTTCTGTGTACTTGCTCGCTCAGGTGGACCTGCCCGTTTCTCTGCCCGTTACCCTAACTCCATGTGCTTATCGTGAGATGCGTCTCACCAAGCCTCCATCCAAGTCTCGAGGCAGGATCTCTCACCGCCATCCACGTGTCTTGTATCCCTCCCACAAACTGGTACACCGAAGAGACTTACTTGACAAAATCCCTCAATCCCTCAAATAGCTGCACACCTACGACACACATCACCGTTTACAATGTGATGAACAGAGTGCCTAGAAAACAGCAACAGTCCTTAACCAGGAAACCGAAAGACGTCCACCTCCAGGGAGAGGAAGGTAATTCATCCTCCACGTTTAATTGGTTTCTAAGCTGCTTTACAAATGGGTCTCTGCTACATCATCAGGTGGTGATCCTGAGTTGGCACACACTTTACATTTAGCCACCAGGGGTGACACATCAGGCAGCAGGCAGGATGCTCTGCTGCTTCTGTGCTGTGTGCCATGTAGATATGATGACGCACTGAAACTAGAGCTACGAGTCTTTCATTCGTGAGGCAATATGCTAGTTTCCCCGGGAAACTGCCCCTAGCATCCTAATGTCTACTTTCCAGAGGTTGAATTTCAAGAAGAATCTACTCCTAAATCCATGATGGTCTAGGATTGTGGTCTAGGTTGAACTTGCAAGGCAAGCCAGCGGGCTTCATCATATAGTCATAGTCAGGCACTCTACCTGATAAGCCGTGGAAAACACACAGAGACCTTGAGTCACTGCAGAGCCATCAGCTTCATTTGGATAGGTGACACCCAGCTTGGGTGTCCGGAGTCGTTCATAGGATCATTTTCCTCACTTAAGAGGCTCAGAAAAGATTCTCTCGGGTTTCATTGGTCTGTGTGTGTGTCTGCGTGTGTGAGGTTTGACGCTGAGACTGCCAACGTCCAGCTCAACCGTACCGGGAGCATGAAAAGTGCTGGTTCAGCTGCTGGGACGCTCCCAGCTGTCAGCTTTTCACAACGTGGCCTCAGCCATTGGAGGACAACTTCCACAGCCCTTATGATACAACAAAGGGCCTTCAACTCAGAGATGACCAGAGCGGAGCTCAAGTCTGGCTCTTTTGCAACTGGGGATACAGCTAACCTTGACAATGAGAGTGCGGAGTGATCCCTTGCCGTTCTTATCACAGACTTGCGTGACTTGCTTTCAAAATCATACAAGTTTGCATCTTTCATGTGTGTGTATATCTATTATTTATCTGGTCATAACTCAGTGAAGAGAATCCAATAACTCAGCAGATGAAGGGCTATGTGGAATTAGATACCGGCAGGTAATTACAAGGAACTAACGTAGGGATAGTTTTTACTACGTGTGGGGAATTCTTCTAGTGAGCTGGAACACCAAAGATGATATTTACATTGTGATGTTTAGGGACATAAAATGAACGCAGAGGATCATAAAGGGGTGGGGATAGTCGCAACTGATGCAGAAATATCTCCAAATCAAGGGAACTGTTCCCAATGTTCAGGGCTCTGTCAAAACCACCCTAGGGTGAAGCATGACCCCGAGACTCATTTTTTTTGTTAAAAGATTAGCTACTACTTAGAGAGTTTGAAGTTTTCTTCGGGATTTTCATGGAAATGATTCAAGCTAATATAGACTTGAATAAAACCAGTGATTGTATTTCCGTCAAAAGCTAATGAGCACCCCCCCAAAAAAAAGAAAGAAAAGAAAAAGGAAAAGAAAGGTAGAAGAAAACAGAGAGAAGTGGAAAAGAAACCCGGTAAAATAGAAAATGGGGATAATACTTGGGGAAGTCCAGATTTTAAAGCCACTAGGAAGCAAACTGTATATGATTACTTCTAGGTAGTGACAACTTGACTTTCGTTTCCAGAGATCTGAGCAAAGCACAATAAAAAAAAAGTCCTGCCAGTTGTAGACCCCGCCAACCAACTGCAAAAGAGGCAGAGGTGTGCATTCCCTGGACGGTTTCCAGACCCCTCCCGTCTCTCATCTCTAAAACCGGAGTGTAGCGTTTTGGCTACTAGGGCGTGCACTGACTGAACGGCCCTCCAAAGGAGAGCTTTACACAAAGAGAATGCTGGGTGAGGATTTACGCTTCAAATCATGGAGTTCAAAAATATTTATGCCAGCTGATGCCTAACGTTGTCGACATCAATCTTGCCACTCCTTCTCATCCTTGAAGTTTTTCAAATAGGGAATCAGGAAAGGGATACTAACTAAAAAGTCCTCTGGCTGCATTTCAGAGTGGCATTGCCGTGCTCATTAATTTTCTTAAATTTGACTTTCTGATGTTGCTACAACATCTAACCAGTGGGTTTCGACAATGAAAATTCTCATCTGAAAACTGAGTCTGTGGGAACCCCAAAAGTTTAACAAAGGATTCTGAAGTATGTTCTTGTCCGGACAGAAGAGTGCAGTTTGGGGAATGGCTATTGCTGAAAATTTGCATCTTTGCAGGTCCTCTGTGCCTGCGTTCATATATAGACACACACACACACACACATATATATATATGTCTATATATGACATTCCGTTTCACTTCTCAGGAACCTGTTCTCACAATTGCTTTCCATTCTTTGTTGTGGGTAGTGTGGACTTAAAACAATACTGTAGGGACTGTGTCATTCCATCAAGCACAAAAGGATGGTGGGATCTGTGAAATGCATATAAAATACTGAAAAATGACTAAGTGATAAAAGATACACTGCTCAAGGTGTAGTGTCCACTTACAATGACTTCTGTTTTTCACAGATATCAAAAGAATCATAAAAACAAACATAATCAAAGAGAATTTTCCCAAATGAGTGGAGTTCCACCAGTGCTGGAGACGGGGGCGCACCCCACTACAACAAGTGGGCGTCGATGCGCAGCCAGCACAGTCCCTGGCGAACGTAGCGGACGAGATTGGTCATGCTGCTGTGCTGGGTCAGGGGCCCCATCAACGTGTCCAGATCGCCAAAGAATTCTGAAAATCAGAGCAGACCTCGGTCAGGCCTTTGAACGACAGCAGGACCACAACCACGCGGGCGTTGGACAAGTTATCCGTTGTGCGTTCATTCATTCTTTCGACACAAGTGTCCAGAGTACCTACTAGGTGACCCAAACTCCATATGGATGTCAAGCTCTACTATTTTAATGTTTTGTTAGCGCCCCAAGCTCTACAGCATAAATCAAGTTTGTGTCACTGTGGTTAAGAAAACACAAATTCATTCAAATCTGTTCATTCATAGTAAGTTTTTTCAAATCACCATATATTTTCTCAGACGACACACACATATCACAGTATGCATATAGTACCTATAAAATATATTTGTCTAAATATTTATATATGTTTATAGAAACATATTTATGTATTGAAAATATACACATAACATTACGTATCTAAAATAAAATGTATCTAAATATATTTTATATAAAATATGGAATTTATATTTTTGTTTTTGTTTTGCGGTACGCGGGCCTCTCACTGTTGTGGCCTCTCCCGTGGCGGAGCACAGGCTCCGGACGCGCAGGCTCAGCGGCCACGGCTCACGGGCCCAGCCGCTCCACGGCATGTGGGATCTTCCCGGACCGGGGCACGAACCCGTGTCCCCTGCATCGGCAGGCAGACTCTCAACCACTGTGCCACCAGGGAAGCCCTGGAATTTATATTTTTATATATTATAAATTTATAGTTAGAAAGGGGTCTTTATACACAAAATGGTAGGGAGCCATGGTCTATATGATACCAAGCTGTTTTTCATTCTATGCGTTATGGAATTGAAAATATTCTCTTTTCCTTTTGTCTAAATGAACTGAGTATCGATGTTTCTTGCCTTGACGTAGATACAGCTGGTGAGCCTAGACAGCCATTAGCGCCATCGGCCTCTAAGGCCAGATAAATGTCTAGGAGGCATCTGATTTGGTAAGTCTTACTCCTTTAGGGAAGGAAAATGACCTGTAAGGATCTGTCGCATAGCACTTCCCCCTGCCCCCCGGCACACGGATGGTAAGACTGCCTGGCCGATTCCCCTCCAGCTGACTCGGGGAAGGAATGGCACTGAGGCCTTACTACTAAGCAGTGGGACCAGAGTCTTAGACTGTCTGCTTTGGGGCGGGGTGGGAGGTCTGTGGGAAAAACTCTATGATGCCTAGAAAGCAGCTAGGCTTCCCCTTTGCACGTCTGTCTGGCACCGCGATGATCTCGGTGAGAAGGAAACTCTTGGGCGTCCTGTTCCCTCAGCCACGAGGAAATCACTCGTGCTGGCTCAGTGGGGGGGAGGAGGCTGGAGACTACCTTCAAGTGGTTGGGATGCTCTCCTGCCTTCTCGGAAAGCAATTTCCATGCATGGGTTATGTGTGCTTGATTGCCCAGCAGATGGTATTTCACTAAACAATGCATTGATTCTTCACGTTATGTAGAACATATGGGCTCCTTCTCCGCGTATCAGCTTCATTTGATTATGTGATACTTTTTAACCTGTACTAGGCAATAAAAGTAATTTCTGCTGATAAGGGAGTAAATTACTTTGGGCATTGAAAATACTCTCTTCCGTAATACAATATTAAGGGAGATGTTAAAGGACCCAGTTGTTGTCGAGTGAACGTGAGTGGGATGTCCCCTGGATATTGTGTACAAAGTCTGCGGTGGCATTCTATTTTTTTTTTTTTTTTTTTTTTTTTTGCGGTACACAGGCCTCTCACTGTTGTGGCCTCTCCCGCTGCGGAGCACAGGCTCTGGATGCGCAGGCTCAGTGGCCATGGCTCACGGGCCCAGCCGCCCCGCGGCATGTGGGATCCTCCCGGACCGGGGCACGAACCCGTGTCCCCTGCATCGGCAGGCGGACTCTCAACCACTGCGCCACCAGGGAAGCCTCTGCGGTGGCACTCTTCATTGGGTACCCAGGTCACCATTTTAATAAGTGTTTCGAGTCAGCAGCTGGGAAGGTAAGGAACCGGGCTTCTAGAATAAAGGCCAGAGGGCAGAATCAGCCCTATTGGCCCATTTGAGCACCAGAATGTTCTGCAATGAGCCATCTGCAGCTGTACAGGTGGGCAGACATGGGGCAGGGGTGGAGACCTTCCACTGGGACAGCCAACCTCCGCCACCTCCATTGCAAGATTGGGTGGGAAAAGGTGCAGGTACGTGGTGGTCTCCAGTGGGAGGCAGAGTACCAATCAAAAGGGAAGTGCCTCAGTTTCCCCATGTCTATGTAGACAAGACAGATGTGGGAAGAAACCCCCACTTCAAGCAGTTCAGAAATGACAAAGTGTGTGAAACTCAGGGCCGTAAACAGAAGATTCCAAACTAGGTCCTCTCCCCGGCCCCTGGTACATCCCTAGGACCACACCAGCCGGGTGCAGCATCTTTCTGCTGGTAGACTGACACAGTCATTTTGATTCAATATTAGTCAGGGAATTGAACAACTCCTTGACACACTGTGCTAAGGCCAAGATGAGCACCATCTGAGTCCAACATCAGCCCAGCCGCTACATTGCTCTTGGAAAGTTCTATGGTTAATTTAGAAGGAATTACTTTAACAGATTTTGAAAATAGATGCAATTGTGAAGGAAATCCATAAATATTGAACAGCTCTCCAGTTACCAATACAAAATAAGACAGAGAAGAGCGGAGGCCGACAAGCTAGGCAAGACTTAAGATGCTTTATGCCTTCCTGAGCAATTCTAGAACCCTTGGATTGGCCTGGTTGTCTGGGTTAGTTGTCTTTGGATTTCCAGAAGCCTAGGGAAGTGGACGAGTTAAGAACTGCCCATTACTCAGATAACTGAGGACAGGAGCTCACTGAAGGTCTCCAAGGACCCGTTGTTAATCTCGCCCTCTAGATGGGCAGTGCATCCTATAGGATAAAAGTTCACACTCTGAAACCAGACATTTCTCGATTCAATTTCTGCTTCCAATATGATGAGCTGTGATATCATGGGTGACTTTCTGCATCTCACTGAGCCTCGGTTTCTACAGCTAGGAAATGGGGCTAAATGACACAACAAATGATAAAACAAATAGTACAGCACCTGGCGTATAGAAATGACCGCATGAACACACAGAACCAACACATGCAAATAGCCCTAGGAGTCAGTGCAAGTTTAGAGCTGGGTCAAGGGGTCGGAGTCCCAAATTATGCAATATGCTTTGATAGGCACAGACTCTTTCAATTATATAGATGTGTCATCATATGGAGTAAGGAAAGAGAAAGAAATCTTCGTAGGATTTCTACCTCGCACTTGATATTTTATGCTAGGTGATTTACACATCTTATTTTATTCCACCCACGTCTACCATCCTTCTGGGTAGTTTCATCATCATCCTATTATATCCATTCTAGAGATGGAAGCTAGGGAGTAGCTCACAGATTTCAGTAACTTGCCTGAGGTCACCCAGCCAGTGCCCGACAGGATTCAAGCTTAAGTGATTAGGCTTCAAAATCTCACCCTTCCTAGTTCCGTGGGACAGTTTCCCCGCCCGCTTAGTGATGCCGCAATAGAGATGCAGCCAGGAGGAGGGGCCGGTAACCCACGGGAACGTCCCTCTGCATCTAGGTAGCCTGCAGCCCCAGCCTGATTCCAAGAAAGTCCTGTCACCGTCTGGGACCCAAGCCCACTCCATGCAACTTATACCATACCCTGTCCCAGCAGGGGCCACCAGCCTGCGAGATGCTAATTCTTGCCTGTACCTAGCCAGATGTCTCTACTGCTCTAAACCACAGGTCACCTCTTTGCAGTCTGATTCAGAAAGACCCACATCTGTCCTCACTTCGACTAGAGTGGGTCTGTCGCTGACTGCTGGGCCAGAATCACCGAAGTCAACTGAACGGCCAGGGCAAAAGTATGGTTTCTTTGAACTTCCCGTCTTCATTAGGATAGGCGGCTTTGGGGCAAACCTGTGTGACAGCTAGGGTCACAGATGGCAGCATGAGTGGCTGAGGACCACTGACTCACCCTCTGGTGAAGCAGGGCTCTCCTCACATTTGTTTTGTAGCCAACCTCATGTGTTCCCATGAACAGGGCTCTGATCTTTCATCCCAGGTGTCAGTGGGTGAAAAACACTAGCTGAGCCTTGGCCTTGGCTTCTGACTGCAAAGCCGCATCGTCACGTACTCACTGGAGCTGACGATTAAAACGAAGGTAAAAGGCCTTGGTTCAACCCCACCTCTCCAAAAACATAAAAAAGCCAAGTGCCTTAATCCCAATTAATTTGCAAATCATTCTTTTCCCCTTTGCTCTGTTTCTCTGCATTGATCCTTACCATTGAGTGAAAATGCGAAACAGACATTTGCCAACACATCATAGGTCAAGTTACTTTAAACTTTAAAGGAGAACTCAATCCTAGGCCTTTTTCACTCTCTCAGCAAAAACTGGTCACCACGTCAGCCCTGAGCTAACCCCCTCTTCCCTCACGTAGCCCTGGAAATCAGACAGAAAGAGAAGGCCACCATGGAAAACTCAAGCCATTGAAAGCAAGTTGACTCCACCATGGCCCGTGAGCAATGGGTCGAGCAGAGCAGCATACCTTTATTCTCTCTTGTCAGTTTGTCGGCCATGTCCCAGTGTTCGTAGCCCCGTAACACGTTGCTAGTGATGTTGACGTGGCTGGCGGCCATGTGGTGAATGCGCTGGGGGATGGTGACCGGGCCGTTGTTACAGTTCCCCATTGCGTTGATGGGAGACACGTTGTTGAGAGACACTGGGGATGGAGTGTTTCTGGGGGATGGGAAGAGACAGGCTTTGTTAGGTTGCTTGGGAAGAGTGACAGCGGCGTTCTAGGCCTCCCCCATCACGCTGGGACCTCATGAGGCCGTGATTTGCCACAGTGAGTTTTAGCATGGTGAACATATATGAAGCTCGCTCTTGCATCCCACCAACTCCTCTCAGAGGACATCCTATAGCTTTTGCCAGCACAGTAGCTTTCTCCAGAGGCCCCAGCGTAGAGAGAACTTATTATCACCCTGTTCCTGCCTCATTAGACCAACCACACAGGGCCACAGGGCCAGGCTGTAGAACGAGCCATCCTTATCCTTTCCTAACTTTAAACCCTGAAGTCTGACTGCCTTTGGGAACCACTGATGACTCCATGCACATCGCTACTTTGTTTTAAAATACCACACAGAGAGCTGGGTGAATCTTCCTCTGGCATTAATTCTACCCACAAATGTAGCTCTTACTTTGAATACGTCTAACAAGTCTTCTGATGTTCCAGAGAAAGCATCAGCTCAGAGCTATGATGATTTCTCTACCTGCTGCCAGAACGGATACTGGCACTTAGAAAAGACTTGATGTGCAATACTGGTCTCTTATCAAAGTGTTTTGTGGAAACCATGGTGACAGTTTGCTCCAAATACAGTTGCCACCATAAGCAAAGTGCAATCCTGAAAAGCCCCCCAAGGAGCAATACTAAGGAAGCTGGAACAAGTAAGATTATGAATATCTCTTTAGGATTCTTTAAGACGTGGCTACAGGATGGCTGTTAATCGCTGGCAGTTCACCTGCACACTGGGTTATAAAGAGAAGTTTGGGGAGTTCCTACTTTGGGCAGTACCAATGTTCGGAGGTAGATTTTTGTTTAATCCTTTAATGCCAGCAACAAGAAGTCGCCGGCTGGCTGCACGTCGCGTGGAGGGTCAGGGACAGTCCCAAAGGCTGGGTGGCTGCCTGTGCCCACGAGCAAGACCTATACACACCCACGAGCCCCCCTGTCCTCGTTCAGCCAGCCTTCGAATGACTGCCCATCGTGAGGCGCCCTTCTCACACTCCCTCCCCTGTGCCAGCCACCTGTTGGCAACTACCTTTGCAGGGTGGCTGTATTTCTCAGAGCCGATCTCTGCTCCTAGAACAGATGCGCACCCTGACAGGCTGCATACACAGAGGATTTGGGGGAACGGCAGTCACCACGTACCAAAATGCCAAAGCGGGGCTGACTCGGTCTGGGAGCAACTCAACTGATGCACTCGCCTGAGACTCACGCAGGCGGTGCCTACAGCCACGGGAGGGCATTGGTCCATTTCCGCAAACAGAGTATGTCTTCTGGTATGTTCTGGCATGAGGGGGAAAGTGGATCCTCTGTGCAAGTGCTCTGCGCTTGTGTGATGGAAGAGGGTGTGAAGGTTTTCCTGCTCTGTTTATAATTTCTGAGATGTTTGATACTTCTTGATGGAAAGATTTACTTTCAAGGCGGGGTGTGGTCAGGGGAATGGTTAAACTCAGGGACCTGGGCACAGAAGTGTTAGCAAAAGAGCAGTGAATGCTAGATTTTTTTTGTCATGGCAGGTTGCAAATGCTATTTTCTAGTCTTTTCCTACCCAGTGGTGGTCATTAACCCGTAAATGTCAATTTACGGCCAGAAAGGAGAACGTCCTCATTTGTAATCTCTAGAGAAGATTGCAAAGGTGTCAGTGTCACAAATGTTGAGAGGGGGACCGTGGGGTGCTGGGAAAGTTCTGGAATCCCAGGGACCGGGACTCTAGCCTGGCCCTGCCTTACGTACAATTGCCGTGTGCTCCTGAGACCCCTCCCCTCGCTGGACCTTCCCTGGCCTGCAAGAAAAGGCTGGATTCAGTGATTTCCAATCATGTCCAGAAGTCATAAGGGGAAACACATCACCTCCGTTTATCTCCTACGTCCTGAAAAGGCCTTTTCAGTTTACAACGTTGAAGAGCTACTGAGGGGCTTTCTTTCCCTTCCACTCGGCACCTTCTTTTAAATGATCAGCGGTGGAGGCAAGGAGAGCGAGGGCATGCGTTCGGTTTTGGTCACGACGGACCTGACACGAGGCTCTGTGAGCTGACCTTGTGCGGAGCACGGCTGCATACCCTGCACACAGCATCAGATGCGTGAAATCCACGAATCAAAACCTGCCTAGGACACTGCCTCTGGCTGAAAGAGGGCCGTTGCCGCGCTCATCTTGGTGTGCCTCCAACTCCAGCTTGGCTCTCCCCACAGCTTGGGCTTCGTCGTTCAGTTCTCCCTCTGTGGATCTGCTTCAGATCTGGTGCTTTTCTTCACACGTCCGTGGCACGTGGCCATGAGTGTGTACGCCCCAGCACAGGCTTCCGACCACTCACAGCATAAGCACCCTGGGCGTCCACCGTGCTCCCTTGCCTCCCAACCGCACTCAGCCCCTGCTGTTCCTGGTAATCACGAGTCATGTCCCCGTTGGAGGTGGTGGCGAGCCCTGCGCGTGGAATGCACTTCCCCCAGGGATCTGCATGGCTCGCCCTCCCATCATCCTTCCCTAATGTCCCTATTCAGGATCTTCCTCCCCCAGGCCAAGCAGCCCTTTCTATCCCCACTCCTTGTTTCGCCTTCCTCTATGACATTTATTATCTAGCATATGCACTCTTTTTGTACTGTCTTTCTCTTCCAAAAGAATGTGACCTTGAGGAGGTCCTTGTCTATAGATCCTTGTCTATTTCATCCAGCGTCATTCCCAGCATCTAGAACAGTGCCTGGTGCATATACTATGTACTTAATAGCAGTTAGATAAATGAATGGATTACCTTCCAGCCATCCCTCTGTTATTATGTAGTATCCACTACACATGAGGCGCTCTGGGGAGGGAAGACGAACAACGTACAGCAGCACATGGAAGGGTATACGTTTGTAAAGTGCCTGGCAGAGTGTCTCATACACAGTAGGCATATGCAATAAATGTCTGGTGAATAAAAGAATGAACAGCCCCTTATTGAAACGAGCAAATAGTCTAATGGGGAGGGAACTCCGTTAAATTCTGACAATCTCGGCTAAGTGCCAAAAGTGAAGTGTACACCAAGAGCTGTGGGAGCTCTAGGGGCGAGATCCCTGATGTTTTCCAACTCAAAAAGGCAACAATGACAACAAAACGTGGCAGTGGCAGGAGCCACTATTTGTTAAAGTTGCCGTGCACCAAGCCCGGTGCTCTGGGCTTCACCGATATTATCTCTAAGCCTTGTGACAACTCTGTGGGCGAGTTTCTGCCACCACTGTTTCACGGATGGCAAAAGGGCTCAGAGAAACTCAGCTCCTTTTTGAGTCATGTAGCAAATCGGTTGAAGGGCCAGGATTTGAAAGCAGGTCTGTTTTCCTCCAAAGTCCACTCTCCTTCCATTCCATCAAGTTACCTCAAAGTCCTACACTCCCTCTGCTAAAGGATTCACCTGACTTGGGTGTTCATCTTGACCCTCACCCTGGAGTCCAACATTGGCTTGTTTCTACCACTGTCCCCAAGCTCACGCCACGTTCACGCAGGCACAGCCCTCCCTAATCTTGGGGAGAAGTTTTGCTTGATGGGAATGTTCCCTCCAGTGACCACCAAACTCCTCACATCTTTTTATTGGCCAATGTCCCAAACATGTGGAGATATCTCTTCTCTTCCAACCCTTTCAATATGGTACCCACGGCCACCTGTCTACTGAAAGAGTTCTTCTAAAGGCCTCAGATGGCCTCGTTCTTTCCTCCTTCCATAGCCTTCCCAGCCTTCTTTCTTTTTATTCTCTCTGGGTGACATCTGAGACTGCTGCCCCACCCTTTTAGACTCTCCATAACATGGTTTCCATGACTCTCTGTGGAGGTCAAAAAAGCTGGTGCACCACCCGTTTCTGTATGGCCTGTGAGCTATGAATGGTGTGAAAAGATGGACATTTGCAGTCAATTGGATGAGCGAGAATGCTACCTTTGAACCCCAGGGACGCAAAATGTTATTTTTTCAAAATTCCATTCCTCTCCTGAACAGACTTGTATTATAAAACTTGTACTTAACTGCTGTTATATTCTGAATTTTATCAGTGAGATGTTTGTGGAAACTTGTTTTCTCTTATGTTCTCTTTACATATGACACCCTCGGTTTTGCCTCTGGGCCGGCAAAGCCCCAAATATGTACTATCTGGCCCTTTGCAGAAAAGGTTTGCCGACCCCTGCTCTATATCAGACGGATTTTTCTTCTCCTTCTTCCAACTGCTTCTTCACGGTCAGGGTCAAGGCATCGTGAAAGGTCTGGTGCGGGGCCAGCTGTCATCATTCGCTGGGGGAAGCAGGCTATAGTGTTGCTGGGAGACAAAGAAGCCCTCCCTGACCACCCATGGAGGCCCGCGCTCTCTTTTGCTTGGGTGTCTGCAGAACTTTGTTCATACCTGTCACCCCCCTCCACTGGACTGCGTGCTCCTCGAGTGCAGGGAGCCCTTGGAATTCCGCTGCGTCCCAGGTCTCTTGTAGGGAAATGTACCCAAAGTGTTTGCTGAATGAATGGGCTGTAACCTCTGGGCGACCGTTTTGAGTTGCGTCATTCAAAAGCTCTCTGGACTACCAACGGGAGTGTGCTTTCTTCAGACAGGAGCTGCTTTAAAAATCATTTCGGGAGGCTTTTCATGTGACTTCACAAGCGTACAATGTGTTTGAGTTCTTTCGTAGCAGAATTAAAAAAAAATTTTTCCCAATGATCCTTTAATGGCTGCTTACCTGACTTTGCCCTTGCTTTACTCCGTGCTCAGAGAAAATAGCTTTCTCTGGGCCTTTCAATAGTTATTTTTATTTTCTGAGCTTCCAGAGAGAAGCGTTCTTTCACTTTTGTCCGTCAGTATAAGAGTGAGACCTAATTCAACAGTCTGAATGGTCCTTCCTTTCAATACAGTAATTGAGTTAACACGTAGTTTTTAATGGATCTGCTCCCTCACTCTGAATGTTTTTATGATCTTAGAGTTCACAATCCCACTGCTTCGGGACTGTGCTTTAAACTATAAAGTGGCAAAGGAGACTATTTCACTGTTCAAGAAAGTGTTTTGATCAGAGACATAAGAATTTTGAAATGAAGAAAAATGGGGAACCCCCCCCCCAGCTCTTTGTGAAGGTATACATCCACTGGTGGGAAGTGGGCTTGGGGTGGTGAGGGAGGTATTGGAGTCACAGGAGAAATGGGTGCTCAAGCCAGTTAAGTGTGGGCATGTAGGCAGTTCAGGGCTGAGACAGAACTGGGATTCCAAGTCGCCCTCTGAAAAGGAACCTGTCTTCAGATGAGCCTCCGATGTCACTGGGTCCGGCCCTTTCATTGCAGAGAGAGGAAGGGGCTCTCTTAGTTTACCCTGGGAGCTAAGGGCAGCTCCTGGCCCACGTCAGCTGGCTTCCCAGCTCCTGCCCTACTGCTGGAGGGCTGAGCTGCCCCGAGCAGATAGGGCTCTAAGGACGGCCGCAGAGCGGGTGAGTTCACCGAGCCTCAGACCGGCAGTAGCGTAGCTGCTGTTACATTTCAGGTCAGGGTATTTTAGTATTAATATAAAAATCATCATGAAGGTTCAGATAATTGGCTGACCAAGTGCCTTCACATTTTCAGCGCTATTATGCCTCTGGTTTTATTAAAGCACTTACCATATATCAATGAATATTTCATTGGTCTTTCATTACTGAGTGACTCATTGAAAAATCACTGCAGTGGAGGTAACTTTACCCTGCCTCCCCGAAATGGCACGGTGCTTGCCATCTCATTAACTGATACTTTTATGGCCGTCATTTGGCTTAAAGATCAAATAGTGAAAGAAATTTGGAATCACATCATCTTAAACTTTTCTGTCCTGCTATTAGCTGAAACCTGACTAGAATTCTGCGTGCACCAAAATTACCGTAGATTCAGAACTGACCTTTCCACCTGGGGTTGTCAATACCCAATATTTGGGGACTATTCGATCGCTGATTTTCATGAAAAAATAATTTTCAGAAGATACTTACTTTCCATTGCCTACCCATGGAGATGGTATCTGAGCGACTTTTGAAGCATTTTGCTAAAAGAGAGAAAGAGAGAGGGAAATGAGGACATCTATCTTGTGTTTTATTAATTCAGAAACAGATGGAAGTGTGATTTCGAGTACATTAATATTGATTGCAGCATTTCGGGATGCCTCCTGTTTCCTTACCAGAGCTGGAATGTATGTGCACGTCAGCACACCACGATGCACACTCGATGAAAATAGCTGGTTGGGATAATTAGTGGGCTCCAATCAGGACCATGAAAGTCACTTGATGAAAGATCTTATATACTAAAAGGCCCAGTGAAATCAGACTCAGTTCTCCAAGAAGTGGTTTAATTATCCTCATCTGAAATTTATTCTGCAAAACAAGCTCTTCAGAGTACAGACAAGCTTTTCACCTTTAGCTCCAGTTACAAACTTTTTCCCTGGGATGCAAGGTAGGAGGTCATTTCTGAAATCCCAGGAACTCGCCAGGACCAAGCAGCATTCGTGTGCGTGTGTGTGTGTGAAGCACCTTGATCTGCTATCATCACATGCATATCCTCATGGCTGACGGTTTTGCAGGGCTGCATTACAGTGGATCACTAAACAATCTTTCCCTCGGATGGGCTGGTTTAAAGAATGGGCCTCCTCGAAAAGGGAACCCCCCTGCACTGTTGGTGGGAATGTAAATTGGTGCAGCCGCTATGGAAGACAGTATGGAGGTTCCTCAAAAACTAAAAATAGAGCTACCATATGACCCAGCAATTCCACTTCTAGGCATATATTCAGAGAAAACCATACTTTGAAAAGATACCTGCACCCCAATGCTCATCACAACACTATTTACAATATCGAAGATATGGAAGCAACCTGTGTCCATAAACAGATGAGTAGGTAAAGAAGATGTGGTGCGTATATACAATGGAATATTATTCAGCCATAAAAAAGAATGAAATAATGTCATTTGCAGCAACATGGATGGACCTAGAGATGATCATACTGAGTGAAGTAAGTCAGAAAGAGAAAGACAAATATCATATGATATCACTTACATGTGGAATCTAAAATATGACACAAATGAACTTATCTACGAAACAGAAACGGACTCACAGACATAGAGGGCAGACTTGTGGCTGCCAAGGGGGAGGGGGCGTGGGGGAGGGGTGGGTTGGGAGTTTGGGGTCAGCAGATGCAAACTAGTATGTATAGGATGGATAAACAACAAGGTCCTCCTGTAGAGCGCAGGGAACTCTATTCAATATGCTGGGATAAACCACAATGGAAAAGAATATGAAAAAGAATGTATACAACTGAATCGCTTTGCCGTACAGCAGGAATTAACACAACATTGTAACTCAACTAGACTTCAACCAAATACATTTTTTTAAAAGAATGGGTCTCCTCTGTTGTAGTGGCGGTACACTTGTGGAGCACAGGAAAACCTGACACTCGGCACCGCCCCATGTGGACAGCTCGTTATAATGGCCTCACAGGTGAGAGCCTCCAGTTCTGAACCTCAAAGAAGCTCAGCGCACCGCCAGGGGAGTGAGTTACTTAACGTCTGTTTGGTATCTTGCAGTGCCCTGAAAGCTACACAGGACAGGCCGCAGAGGACAGATGCTGGGGCTGGGGCTCAAAGCGCGACCACAGCATCAGCACTGCCGGGGAACTTGTTAGAAATATGCCCATTCTTAGGGCACCCCAGACCTACAGCATCAAGACGCCTTTCCAGAGCCCGGGCTGATACTGTAGACATACGGTCGTGGGCAGCTGTTGCATCTGACCATGTTCACCTCCACAAGCACTGGCTTTATTACGGCCACACCACATGGTAGCTGGGGAACCTGCTCCTTTTCCCGAGTCGGTGTCCGCACAGCGCTGTGCACCCTCTCCCACCGCGTTCTGATGTCTGAGGTAAGGTCAGGATTTGATTCACTTCAAACAACTGCCTTGGTGCAACCGAGCCAAGTTGTCTGATGAACTTGGCAAAAAAAAATCAATAAAAAAATTGTCCTTTTCCTTTCAGGACCTGCCCAACAGGAGCCTTGAACCCCCTCAACTCTAAAACGTGACCAGTGTTATGGGGGTAGAAGCCACAGAAGCTCCAAGGACCCTCAAGCCAGTGATACCCGGCACAGCGGCCAGGCCTAGCTCCAGGCTTGCAGCTTTCATTCGGGCTCATTCCCACATTTCGGCATTGCATCTCGTGGTTGAAATATCTTGTTTTGCTTGCAGATTAAAAACTTCAGGGCTTCCCTGGTGGCGCAGTGGTTGGGAGTCTGCCTGCCGATGCAGGGCACACGGGTTCGTGCCCCGGTCCGGGAAGATCCCACATGCTGCGGAGCGGCTGGGCCCGTGAGCCATGGCCGCTGAGCCTGCGCATCCGGAGCCTGTGCTCCGCAACGGGAGAGGCCACAGCAGTGAGAGGCCCGCGTACCGGAAAAAAAAAAAGAAAAAAACAAAACTTCCGCTCCCTAGACGATGCATTTGTTTATTTATTGTTTGTTATTTTGGCAGCCAAAGCAATCAGCTATCTTCAGGTGCAACCACTGTCCTCCAAGACTCCCCATGGTCAAAGGGGGTGTGGCTGTCCCCGCAGAGCCCAGGGCGGCTGCGGTGACTTCTCTCATTGCCGAGAAATTTCTAGGCTGGCATCTCATGTAACACGAGACCGGCCATAGCCATGGCCACAGCTCCAGCCGCGTCCTCTGGCGGGTCCACCGTGCAGGGTGGGCGGAAGGCATCGCCCCCCCCCCCCAACCCTGACTGCAGCTGGGAAGCTGCCCGGGGCCATTTGTTCAGTCCAGAGAATCATCAGGGGATTGAACTATTGTACCTTCTCTCTCTGGAATCAAATCAAACCTAAGCTCTCTGCTGAGCCCCAAAGGAGAGGTGGGAGGAGCCAGGATGAGCAAGGTTAAGCCTTTGGCAGCAGCAACCTTGACATTTAATAACATGCCTGCCATGTCTCATTAGTGATTTAATCACCCGGGGCCTATAAATTATACCAAATAAGGATTACCTTAAAATATTCCATCAGTGATCTGGAGTACTTCATGGCGTGGTCCTTCTTCAGTTTGAACATCCGCAGGTAGAGAAGTGATAAGCATCGGTAGCTGTGGTGTTGAGGAAAGGACCATGTTAATGCCAATGCGTGATCAAACCTATAAAACTAAAAACTGATTCCTATTTTGCAGTTACTCTCCTACGGTTATCGAGGAATATAAGTGAAAAAAGAAAAAAAATTTAAAAAGAGGGAGTAAGCATAGCACAGGGAACTATACTCAACATCCTGTGATAAAGCATAATGGAAACGAATATGAAAAAGAATATATATAGATGTATAACTGAGTCACCGTGCTGCACAGCGGAAATTAACACAACATCGTAAAGCAACTACACTTCAATAAAAGTTTAAAAAAAGAAAAAAAGAGTTCACAAAAGATGGAAGAAGGAGGCCGAATGTCAAAGTCGGGGAGCTATTTTAAGAAGCTACACTGATGACTTTGAGGATGGACGAAGGGGCCCTGAGCCAGGGAGTGCAGGTGGCCTCTAAAAGCTGGAAAAGGCCAGGAAGTTGATTCTCCCCTAGAGCCTCTGGAAGGAATGCAGCCTCGCTGACACTCTGATTATAGGCTCGTGAAACACAAGTCAGACTTCTGACCTTCAGAACTGTAAGATAATAAATTTGTGTCGTTTTTTAAAAAAAAGAAGGGGTAAGCATTAAAATCCCATCTTGATAAGGGTATAAATTCAGAGAGTAAATGTTTAGTCAGCGACTGAAAAAATCCACCAGTTAGCCTTCCAGAGTTTAATGGAAAACAAGAATAATGATCTGGGGGTAAGCAGCTTAAGTTAACTTTTCAAATCCTTCTGCAACATTTCAGCTGTTTCCTGGTGGCCTCCAGGAGGCTTACCATAGTACGGCCAGCTTTTTCTCCCCGTCCGAAGCCAGGGGGCTTGCAAAGTTCTTCAACCTCATTGCATACCTTTGAAGAGAAAGGACAAGCTCAAGGGGAATGCATCTGACCCTTCAGAAAGTCCCAAAGTCATTGGCGTTCTCATCACCTAAATGCGCTAGCCCCACATGTGCTCTGGGTGTCAGGACCGAGAAGGGCACGTGGGCAAAAGTGTGCTTTCCCGAAAACATATACAAAACGACGACCACAGGAGTGTCACGATGGCACTGCTGTGACGGATGGAAGCTAGCTGGAGAAGCCAGCTACAACCGGAGCCCATGTTCCAGAACAGTGCTGTGGAACTACTGTGGGTCTGGCGTGCGTATAAATGCTAGCAAAATACTGTTTCTAAGAACATTCTAGTTAAACAATATTATTGGCTTTCAATGAGACGTGGACACAAATGTCAGTTTCAGTTGAGTTTTTGACAGATGAGGTAAATAATAACACAGCTATGTCTGACCTGAGTGTAGGGAGGCCTCCATCACACAGTTACAATAGCTGTGTGTTTCTAATGGCTCAGGTGTGGAACATATTCCTCTAGGAAGTGGTGTTTTTGTTTTTTAAGGGAGGTACATTTCACAGCAGGTAAAGGTCTGAGCGCCCCTAATTTATGGTGCTTGTATATTTTGTCTTTCCACTCTCTTTAATCGTTACTGTTCCACACCGGGGAGATCAAAGGTTGAGTAGTTCCCATTTTTTTTTCTTCGAGCTGAGCAGATTCCATTCTGGGCATTTAGACTCTTGAAAATCAATTCATTGCATAAAGTCATTGTCTGAGCTTTAATGCAATTTCACAGGCACTCGTGGTGGAATAAGTAACAGAGTTCAGTGCTGCAGAGGGAAGTTGAAGATGTGCAGGCAGCCCCGACTAGCTCTCGATTACGAGAAGGCGACGGTGAGCCCGCACTTTCAGCAGCCTCCCCGGAACACCGGCGCCCCCTATCGCTCTGCTCTCCCCAGTTACTGCCCCAGTTCTGTCCAGTGAACGTTTTCCAGCAAAAGGACCCGCGCACTTGATGTGGGTCCCTCCTGTTGTTGCCATATTAAGCAAAAAGGCTTCTTATGATGTCATAAATCTGTCTTTGACGGCTGGATCACTGAAATGTCAAGTCATTGTGATGCCCCTCTTGTCTTCACAAGTATATGTCTATTGCAGATTCCCAAGGCTCAGAGCAACCATAATTACTTGAATGAAAAAAATGGGGTGCTCTCTCTGCAGCCAGCATACCGTCAGGGAGAGAGTAATACAGATCTCTTCAACATAAAATTATGCTACTAAAAACCATGTTCTTATTACAGTTACCCTCTAATTGCAGCCACTGTTGAAGTGGCTTGATAGTGGAGTTCCAGTGGCTTACATGGGCCAGAAGACTTAGTTGCTTCAGCCCATTTTATTCCCAATTGAAATTTCTCTCCAAAAAAAAAAAAAATTACACATACACATATACTAGAAAATGTAAAGTTCTACATATATAGAGGACATACAAAGTAGTGCAGGTAGAACTGGTTAAATCTGGGAGAAAAAAGACCTGATGACTTCTGAGTAAGGCAGGTGGACTGTAGCAATGTCCCTGTCCTGGCTGTGATCTTGGACTAGAGCTACGCTAGATGGGGGGAAACGGGGGGTGGGGGAGAGGTACACAGGAACTTTCTGTATCATTTCTTATAACTGCATGTGAATATCCAGTTATCTCAAAATAAAGTTTCAAAATACTGACTTAAAAGTGAATGGCTATAAATTCTCCATTGACTTTCACCAGGTTCCACTGAAAATATACTCCTATGGGGAGTAAACTATCACATCATGTAAAAAAACAACAGTGCTTAGACAAAAAGAAAAAAGAATTGTAAATAATAAAGGAAAAAGAAGTGTTTTCTAATGGAAATAAATATCACTCAGCGATTCACATGGCATTTGTACCAAAAATGAAATTTGATGTTTTGCTTTTCTATTTAGAGAGCATGTGTTTTCCTAAAAGAAAACAAGAAAAAATATATAGAGAGTGAAAACACCCATAATTTCACCCCCAATTACAGATATGACCTTATTTCCCTTCCAGGTTGGTCCACGTGCAGAAACGTGCCTTTCGTGGTTAGAAATGCAATGTGTCTATAATTCTGTGGTTTGCTTTTACTTTAACATCATACTATAAACATTTTCGTGCAGCTACACAGTCTCCATCATTGTTGCACTCCAATGGCTGCAAATCATTCTGTTGCGTGTACTGCGATGTAATTAATTACCCTTCTCCTGTTGACGATTTGTTTTGCTTCTAATTGGGTGCTATAATATAGGCCAAAGTGAACACTGTACAGATAACTCGTTCTCCTCTTACAAGTCTTTTCTTCAGTATAGAAAATTCAAATTTCTGGAAGTTGAATTACTGGCTCAAAAGATACGAATGCTCACTTGTATAGGTTTTCCTACACAATGCCAAACTGCCCTCAATTTACAACGATCAATTTCCATTCCCATCAGCAGCATGGAGGAGGCCCAGTTCACCATTATTTTGCGTATGTGCTAACACTAGGTATTAACATTTTTACATTTTCCTGTCAATTGAAAAAGTGCCTTGTTTTAATTTGCATTTGGGGATGAAGAGAAGGCATGGCTTTCCTGCAGGTTTGTTCGTTCAAGTTTCCCCTCCATTTTGAATCCTTATCGTTTCTGCCAGGATTTTCATCTTGTGCATCTTTGAAAACTGCAGGCAGCCTCGTATAGACACTGAGAAATCAATTTCCCCTTGAAAGCTACAAATGGCGGCGGTGGCTTTCACAGGGCATAAAGTAAGTCTGAGAGATACTTTCTATACTTCTCAGAGCAGCGAAAAGCCAAAGATGGCTGCCTGGCCTGTCAAGGTAAGGCTGGAACTTTCCTCACAATCTCCCTACTTTGGTGGCTTTAACTAAGTCTTCTGATTCTATGTAACCGTAGTTTTTTTTTTTCTTCTTCTTCTTTATAATGGCTCCCATTCTTCTGATCTTTTCAAATGCTTTCCTGGGAAAATATGCATGCTAAATCTGTCCGATGTCTGTCTGAAGGTTTAGGTACAAGGGTCCTCAGGTTTGTAACAGTTTATTGCAGATGCAAGAACAGAATAAAAAGCAGGCCTGGCATTATCGATGAATGAAGCCAGAGGTGGCTGGATACAAGGACCTATCAGGTGAAGAACTGCTCACTCAATCAAAAGCCATGATGTAGTCCATCCTGCAGATGAGGGTGCTTAGCCACTATTCAGAGGTAGAGGAAATTCTTGTACAAATACCTGCAGATTACTGGAAAGCACTAGAATGGATATCATTTCTTCTCTTTCCCCTTCTTACAAGAATTTTTTGATTACCCACAAACTCCACTGCACCAAGAGCAACAGGCCAGAAAATTTCATTCAAAATGCAAATGAAACCAATAATCTGTGCCGTTAATACACCCTCCCCTATTATCAACCTCATCTCTCCCCTCCCCCTGCTACCACCTTGACTGCCCCTCAAATTCCAGATGCATGGAACGTCTACTCCACAGCTGCGGCCTCCAGAGCTGCCTTTGTGTTGGAACAGTGCCCCTCCATTTGTAATAACTGAGGCAGAAATTTTTAGAAAACATGGTTTATAACAGAAATCCCAATAGCACCGCTTTTTGTGAATTATAGAACTGCGCTTTGAAAAGACAAGTGTCCACGCCAAACAGTGAAATGATGATACTTTACTCGCATCCACTACCTTTCCATTTTAATTTTATGAATATTGCAAATTGTAACGCTCACGTTATAACCTCCGAAGGGAATAATTGATACAAGCAGTGTCCATCAGTTATAAATTTTCCATGACATGAATAAAATGGCAAGAACGAATTATGATGACTGCTAAGAAGGAGATGCCTTGGATGAGTCATTATTATGTGGAAGTGATAGTTTTCAAACATAGCAAGCAGCTTCTAATTATGACTGGAAAGAGCGAAGGAAAAAGGCAGCAGAAAGGCACGAACCTGAGAAGCTCCACGGTCTCAGAGTACATGGTGTACGGAGACTTGGCTTCCAGAGGGTCGCGCTCCATCGCGTTGCCACATTCGGTGAAGGACAGGGCTGCATCGGCATAATTCACGGCTTTGCCAAATTTCTCAAACTGAAACAGGAAGAAGACTTGTCAACATGACGGTCCCTCTTCTCTCCTTCATCTAAAGCAGTGGTGTTCAACCCGGGGCAACGTTACACCCCTCCCCCAGGGAACATTTGGCAATGTCTGGAGACCTTTTCGGTTGTCACCACTAGGGATGAGGGGCGTCTAGTGGACAGAGGCCGGAGATGCTGCAACAGCCCTCAATGCACAGGACAGCGCCCACAGTGGAGAACTGCCCAGCCCAACAGTGCCAAGGGTGACCTATGGAGGGGAGCAATTAGGAATTTGTCTAGACAAGGATGTAACTGATTTCAGGTTCTATTGCCATGACATGGAGGCTGGTTGAGAAGAGAAAACTGCAGCCAAGGTATCATGTCTTTGTGGTATTCCTGTTGTTGTTATCTTTTTGGTGGGCCAGGATCCAAATCACTGCCTCGACTCGTTTCTCTTGACTACATTTACTAGACTGGTCAACATAATGTCCTCTAGACAGAGCTTGCAATGAAACCCTGCTTTGTACAAGCCTCCTGGACAACTAACCCGTTTAGTCTTTGCTTGGAACTCTAGATGAGCACATCATCCCCATCCCACATGCTGCGGAGCGGCTGGGCCCGTGAGCCATAGCCGCTGAGCCTGCGCGTCCGGAGCCTGTGCTCCGCAACGGGAGAGGCCACAGCAGTGAGAGGCCCGCGTACCTCAAAAAAAAAAAAAAAGCCCCCAAATATAGCACTACTAAATATTTTAGTTTAGTAAAATTTTATTGCAAAAGGTTTTAGCCCTGATAATGGTCACGATTAAATTGACTTAGACATACTGATTTCTTTTTTATGTGTAATGAATATTATATATGACACTTTTATAGTGAGTATTTTCTAACAGTATTTAACATTTTCAATTTTTGATAGCTGGATGGAAGAATTCCACTAATACAGAATTTCATGTGAAAGAACCAATAGAATGCAGATTGAGCTATTCTAATTTTCTTGTATACCTTTTATCAAAATATTTTCTATGCAACTGTGAAGGTTTCAATTCTCAAAACGGCAGAGTAGCTGTCTCTAGCAAAGGATTAAGTACATCTATAAAATGATGAGTTACAGGTCCTGCAGAATCGCTTGCTGTAAATGACTCTTTGCAATAAAGGTTCTCCAGCTTTTATGTACTGCAGGAATTCTGTGGTTTCCTTTCTGAAAGCTGTTGTGGAAAAATACCGGTTTCAGCCCAATTCAAAGCGATTTTATGAAAACCTCCTTCTTCTCTTGCCTTACAAGATAATTTCTTTAGGTCATCTGACTCTGATTGGTTCTCCCCTGTGGAAATTAAGCTTTGCATCCTGATTTTTGAAACTGACTTTTCATTTGCAAGTCCATAGCTGGAAGGCTCCTTAAAGATCACCTGGCCCAAATCTCTCTTTTGCCAAAAGGAATAACTGAAGTCCAGAGAGAAGACTACATGGGCCACAGGGCCAATTAGGGGCTTGAACTCCAAAGGAGTGTCTAGCTCTGGTGTAGACGTAAGCCAAGCAAAGACATCTTCCTCTAAATGAGTATTTCTCAACCTTTTCTTTTTTTATCATTCCTCCCCACCCCCACCCCCCACCGAGGGAGATTTTTTAGATTTTTTTTTCACACACCCCATGGAAATTTTAATACTAAAGACATACCGATTATCTCCTTATGTACCGTGGCCCTTTGGAGGGCGGTGGATGGTGGCCACGCGCAAGTCACGGCGCAGAGACCGTCGTGGTCCTCCATTACAGCCCTCCCAGTGGCAAACAGCACAGGGCAGCTAAGTCCTGGCTGGACACAATGTGATGATGGAGGGTGTGATTTTTTTTTTAACCCAATGGAGTTGAGCTGACACCTCTAATTATGCTGGGCTTTAGTCAAAGGTGAGGACCCTGAATTGAGGGCAGTGGTTCTCAACCTTGGCTGCACTTGGGAATCACCCGGGGGAAGCTTAGACACCCATGGCTGGGTCCCAGTGTCGGAAATTCTGATTCCATTTCTCTGGGGTGTGGCTTGGACATCAGGGCTAGTTTAAAGCTCCCCAAGTGATTGCACCCCACGATTGAGACCCCCTGTTAGGTGGCTCAGTCAATCAGATGACTCCTTTGGAGGCAGCGAGGCCAAGTGCTGGGGGAAATCTAGAGAACAGAACTTCCTTCTGTGTGCGGGGACCTAGGCTGGCTGTGGGCCTCACTCTGGAAACATGTCATCAAATGCAGCAAGGAGCTGAGATTTTTCTACAGACCTGAGTTTCTCAGAGCCAATGACTGAGGCCACTTAACTGGCTCTCAGCAGCCCTCTCCCTGCCCACACCCAGTTCGGGCTTTACTGGAACCCATGGGTGCTCCCACCTTCCCCAGGGCAGTTTCAAAGGTCATTTCAAAATCACTTGAAAGACAGTACAAGTGGGGCTTCCCTGGTGGCGCAGTGGTTGAGAGTCCGCCTGCCGATGCAGGGGACACGGGTTCGTGCCCCGGTCCGGGAAGATCCCACATGCCGCGGAGCGGCTGGGCCCGTGAGCCATGGCCGCTGAGCCTGTGCTCCGCAATGGGAGAGGCCACAGCGGTGAGAGGCCCGCGTACCGCAAAAAAAAAAAAAAAAAAAAAAAAGACAGTACAAGCCATTAAGCTTCTGAAGTTGGAGCAAGGGGAAGAAGAGTGGGAAAACCAAGAACGGCAACGTGGCGCCAAGACCTTGGGGAATCCCAGTGCTAAGGAACTAACCAGCTCCAATCGCTCTGCGTCACAGCAGCAATGAAGAGGTTTGACTCGTTTGTAAAGTGCCTTCTTTGTCTTCCTTCAAAGCCTAATACCTGGATGGGAGGACAGCAACGGGAGAAAGGAAACCTACCAGGGCATCAGCTTTGTGTTTCAGCTTCTTTGCCTCTTGCATGTAATAATCAGCGTTGTGAACCCTAAACAAACAAAACGAGCACGTTCAGAAAGCAATGTTTCATCTTTTCATTAAAAGACCGAATAGTCACAATTTGGGGGGGCTATAAATCCATTCCTATACAATGCCTTGAACAGGGCCGATGAATGCCTGTCGTGCATATAATAACCGAGCTTGAAATAGTCCAGTGAATGAAATCGGAAGTGCATAATGGCCCATTAGGATAAATACCCGCATCCTCCAACCCCAACCCTTCCAGCTGCCCAAACAGACCCAAGAGAACCTGGCTATAATTCTCTCTGCTGGCACACAGTTCTATCTGAGGACACGGGTAAGCAAGGAGGACCAAGCAGGCTGGGATTCAGCACCTGCCTTTGGAAACAGTAACAGAGCTCCACGATGAAAATGGGCCAGCGTTTCTCGATGGGGATAGAGGTGTGTGTGAGGAGGGGAGAAATCTACTTTCAAGGCTATAGGAGCTGCACTGCTGCCTCTGAGGCCTTATTTTCAGGTGACACATGCACGGTGCTCGAAAAGCCATACTGCCCCCACCCCCGTTCACCACTCCAGAGAATCTGGGGACAACATACGAGTCATCAAATGTGAGCTTGGGTCTCCGGACATTGGTAGTGCTGCTGGAAAGAACGGGCAGGGCGGCCCAGGATGTCATCTCCAGGTGATTGCTGTCCATGAGGCCAGTAGTGATGGTGGAGGTGATGGTGGAAATGGTAGTGGTAGTGGTGGTGGTAGTGGCAGTGGCCGTGGCAGTGGCCGTGACAGTGGCGGTGACAGTGGCAGTAGCAGTGACAGTGGCAGTGGCAATAGCAGTGTTGGTGACAGTGACGGTGGCAGAGGCTGCCTTTTTTGGAGTGTCTCCCTCCTGGGAAAAAGGAGGACAAAGAATTTCCATTAGGTCCAGATTTTTAGAGCATCTTTTCATAAATGCTTTGCATGTCAAACACACTAGGAAACAAGACGAGAGAGAAGAAAACGATGCACACAGCTGGAGGATACACAGGTGACTCCGCTATATGTCATGAACTCCGGGAATCACCAGCTTTTGTTCTATGATGACACCAAACACCAAGCTAGTCACATGCTGTGACTACATAGCTCCATCATCCCAGTGACACAGTCACTGGCGAAGGTCTAAATCCAGTTGGGGACGTGGAGGGGAGGGGACGAATGGGAAAGGGAGGGAAGGATAGAGAGAGGGAGAGAGAGGAGAGAGAGAGAGAGATTGTCACCCCGACGTGTCTGTTTTTGATAAGGGACCGGCCGCGGCTGGGGCTGCCTTTCCGTTCACGCGAGGCCTCGAGTGCTTTCCTGCTAGCGACGCCACAGGAGCGCCTCTTCATTTCCAGGCCTTGGGGGAGAGAAAACTCATCTGTACCAGGTCAAAAATCAAAGGAGTCAGAGACTTCTGAGTTCCACCCTGAACTGTCACTGCCGTAGAAAGAATGGGATCCAGATGAATGAAGTAGGTGGGAAGATCTGTAACGATGTGACGCTCCGTGTCACGAGACCACCTGCCGTGTTCACACCGCTGACTCTGCCCCCATGCCCCCCTCTGGCAACTGCGGGACGATCCTGACTGTCCTACCTCTGACCGTACTTGCCGTGGTGCCACCTGCTCCTTCTCCTCGTCTGAGCTGGGATTCCTTCCAAGGCTGGCATCCCCCAACGTTCATTCCTCAGCTCCTCTCTCTTGACCTCGACAGGATTTGCCAGTCTTGTGTGCACTGGCACAGATCTGACAATAAGCAGGTATAACTCCCCGAGGGAAACCTCCACCTGTAACCCTCTCTCTGATGCTACTGCAGTGATCGCTTCTGGAGAGTTCCACCAAGATGGCCCATCAGCATCTCAACTTGCTCTGAAACCAAACTGACACCCAAACCAGTCCCCTTGCTCTGTGAATGGCAGGACGGTCCCCCCTGTCACCAAGGCCGGTAAGGGCATGGTGGTCATCCCGGGGCCAGGGGCATCAGAAGCCATGTCCTCCCCGCCTTGCCTTCCATCTGAGCTTCTCTGCTTGAACCAGTTGTAGATATTGAAGTTCTGGAAATGATTTCATTTCAAAATGGGATCATGCTCCTGAAACTTTGAAAACCACTGCTCTTCTCCATCCCTTATTTCTCCTTCTCCGTCACCCCCGTCCAATCCACTACGAAGTCCTGTTCACTCCATCCCCCCAGTGTCTCACAACCTGTCCCTTCCTCCTCTGAAGCCTCAAAGTGCAGGCTCTCGTGGCTTCAGCCAGAGTCGATCACACAGCCTCCTGGCCGAACGCCCGACCTCTGAGCTAGCTTTTCCAATCACCCTCCATCTGCCGCCTGCCAGCCGGAGCTCCCTGCATTTCACTGCCTTGCGGCTGAGTGCAAACCCCAGGCTGAGCTCCTCTGCTGGTGTGTAAGGCCCTTCCTGACCTGGCTTCACCCTTCCCGACTCCCTCCGATGAACCTGCCACCAAACTGAACTCATCAGGCTTTCTCCACCTTCCTGCTTTGGGTCCTTCGCAGTCTTAGGGTTGAGAAAGCCTCCTCTTCGTTACTTTTTTCACCTTGCGATAATGTACTGTCTTTTTTTAGCCTTTAAACTGAGGGAAAATACACAAGACACCCACATTTACCACCTCAACCATTTTTAAACGCCCAGTGCTCTCGTGTTAAGCACATTTACATCATCGTGCAGCCGATCTCCAGGGCTCTTCGAACTTGCAAAGCTGAAACTCTGTGCCCATTAGACCATAACTCTCCATCCCCTTACTACCCCCAGCCCCTGGCCATCACCCTTCTAGTTTCTGTCTTTGCAAATCTGACTCCTCGAGGTACCACGTGTAAGTGGAATCATACACTCTTTGTCTGTTTGGGCCTGGCCGATCTCATTTAGCACAATGTCCTCAAGGTTCACCCAAGTCGTAGCACGTGGCAGAATTTCCTTCCTTTTGAAGACTGGATAATATTCCACTGTGTGTAGAGACCACACTCCTGTTTAATCATTTCCCCTCATTACTAAACCCTACTTAACACTCTCAGCTCAACCCAGCTCAACAAATGCCTTCCCAGGAAAACTGCCTCATGTATATGGCCAGAAGTGCTTTAAACCTTTTTGGTCCCTTTAGAGATGGGAAGGGTGTGTCTCAAGCCCTCCCCTAAGACACCAATCAGCAGCTATTTCGTATCCCAGTTTATCGAGCACATGTCTCATTGCTCACCTTAGACTGGGAGCCCTTTAGGCGCTGGGGCCGTCTCTGATTTATTACATTCCCACCCCAGCCCCGTCCCGCTACCCCACCGCCCAGTGCACTCAGTGATTTGCTGAACACAGGCCTGCCTGCCTTAATCAAAAGGGTCACTTTAGAGCGAAAAGTCAAATGTGAACATTTCTTATATCCATGAAAGTCTTATCTTTTCCACTTCATCCTGGACCTTCCGATTATCAAAACTTCTTACCATCAAGAGCTCATTGCCATAACTGTGCTGAGAGACTGCACATCTAAAAATGGTTACGGTGGATACGTAGGAAAGCATTTAAAGTTCATCACGGATTCTATTCAACCCAAACACATAAAAAACTCAGAGGCTTCTGAACTCGAACTCCTAAGCCAGCTGCACGCTTCTACCGCCAAAGCCAGATGACCCAGACCAAACAGCTGAGTCGGCCCCAGAGAGAGCCACGTGTCTCTACGGCCAAGATAGGTGACGAGAACCCTGAAACACCACGTCCACCACGCACGCGGAGGTGATGTCGGTCCTGGCACATCTGACTGGAAACAGCTGCGTTCAGCCATGATCATGTGTCATATAAACACGTCCTCTGTTGACCCTCACTCATCCATTGAGTCAATAAACAGGACTTCGTGCGTACATGGGACAGAGAAGACTCTGAGAGCAGAAAATGGAAAACGTTTTTGGAGCTGGAAGAACCTGTATAGATCATCTAGTCAAATTTACTCATTTCATGGACCCAAAGAGGTTTCATAATTTGCCCAAGGTCACAGAACAGATTTGTTGCCGTGTTAGCACTATGTGTCAAGCAAGTCTCTTAACTTCCACAAAGTCTCTCAGATTTCAAGCCATTAATAGAAAAAACTAATGGCCAAAGAAGACGCAACAGGTACTCAATCCATCATGGGGACCCCGGTGATTTCCTTAAGAAAAAAATGCCCTTGCAGGATCCTCTTATTATCACTGTCATAATAACATCTCTATTAAGCATCTAATTATTTGTGACCATGTACTAGGCGCTATATGAAGAGAGCTGCCTAGATATGGCGCATGCCCTCCAAAAGCTTGCGGTAGGAGAAAGCCTCCGTTGGAGTTTATAACATTAATTACATTCAGTATGAAAAATAGGATTGATAGTGTAATTACTGTTTAGAATAGACAGTTTCATTCCTAACATTATAAGTCAGCATCTTTAAACGTGAATGCAAATGTAATGTGGGCACACACACGTACAAATTTCATCTGGAAAATGACAACTTTGTAATAGAGCAATTTCTTTATGTCACCAATAAAATTTACCTAGATATGCATGTCATCTAGTCATCTCAGATGACGGAGGGCTTTAAATTGCGGTCCTTAAAGCTCAGAGGCCTCGTGGCTTTTCACGAAGTGTTAAATGGGCGCTTTGGGTTCAGGGGCCACCAGGTTGGCGCTAGACATTTGAAAACTCATTGATTTTCATGCATTTGCTTTTTATACTACACTTAAAGGAGATCAGATGCTGCATCTCCACATACGTGCATTTACCCAAAAAGGCAGGTACATTTGCCATTAACATTCACTAGCGACACTATCGCTCATGGTTTTCACGGTTCAGGTACCTATACCTGGGGCAAGATAAAAAGACATTGTGTATAGATGAGAAAAGTGAAACAACTTCGCAGTTATTTATGCTAATCGAGCAGCAGTGCAGAAAATCGAAAGGACGGGATAATCCTTGAGTTTGGCTTAGAGAACCACAATTGTGTGATCTTAGCAACAGATTCACCTTTGAAACTCCATCCTTTTGAGTCACTATTTTAAAACACAATTCACACCTGCTAAGCCGGGTGGTAGAAAGATGTAACTTGGAGTCCCGGCCCCAGTTCCATGACCTTGGGCAATTCCGTCCATTTGTTCTCTCCCTTTCGGTAAATGATCAGTGCCTCCCATGTGCCAGATGCTGTGGACAGTATTGTCGAAGTGTCCCCCACCCCCAAGATCTGAAGGGATTGGACCAAAGGACGTCCAAGCCCTGAATGCCTGCATAATAATCTGTTTGGAGAAGTAAGACTGGAATGAAAAATTCATCTTGAGTTCAGTTAGATAAGCTGGGTCAACTTGTTTCCACCTGACACTGATAAGATTTCTTCTAAGATGCTTACACTTACAGATATCCCTTTGAAAGTAGCACAGAATTTGCCTTCACTCCTCTTAGGTTTGGTCGAGGTGATCTGTCCAATCATAGGGATGGTCTTGTCTTGACTGAAGGGACCGCTATTGCCGCTGATATTCCTGCGGCGCGGAGGATCCTCTGGCAGTGGGGAAAGTGGAGGGGGAAACAGCTTTTCTTCTTTTCTTCTGTTTGCTCTCCTGGATGAATTATTTCTGTGTAAACAAAAAGTATGGGGTGTCAGAAAATTTTGTCTCTCTTTATTCTGAGCTGTCCCATGATGCTGATACTTTCAGCTAAAGTAATATGTTGGCTGATGGACCTTCACTTGTGGTGAAGAGTATACATAAAAACATAGAGACATAGATATCTACAGAGAGGGAGCCCTCCCTATAGACTGAGTTATAGATAAATGCAACCATATGTATCTAAGAATAAACACGGGTCTTTGAAACAGAACTCCATGATAAATGGAAATGTCTAATGGAATGTTGCCCCAGTGTGATATTTGTAACCTTTTAAGATTACCGTTAAGTAGATTTTTATGGAAAATCCAATGCGGACTTTAATCCCATCATTTTTTAGGCTGGTTCCTACTTATTCTGCCCTACGACTTAACTGCATGGTCACACAACAAACAGTACAATAAACAATTAGTGGAAGGATACTTTCCTAAGAAATACTATGCTTATACATTACACAGAAATAAATAACGCACTAAATACTTTTGGGTTACATTGCCAATTGTATGTTCCAACTGTTCTACCCAAGGCATAATGAGCCCCTGACCTTAAGCTGTTATACTGAAGTACTGATGTACTCCGGTTTACAAAAGTCCATTTGAAAAATATTTTGTCATCTTTCCATAAGACATCTACAGTCCTAGAAGCACTCCTGTGCTTTCAAACTGATTTATCTGCCCGTTAAGTGGGCATCATCAAATAGACTGAGACTTCAAATAAAACAGAACAACTAAAACCTTATGCTAGCTGCTTAACATGGTAATTGGGCCATGGATTTTTATTTTAGTTACTGTCTTAGACTAATCAATGAAGATTACTTGAATTTTCATCTTTTCTTAGACAACTAATATTGTACTGTGCAGCCATTTACTTTTCATGATTATTGACTACAATTTTCAACAGCAAATTAAGTCAACAAGAATTTATGTTTTCCTCTTGGTCAATTTCAGTCAGTGTCTAGAAATACAGATTTACAATATCTCAAAGCAACAAATCAAAGATGAACAAGCACTCAAGTGGTTTGATTTCCTGAAATGGTAGCAGTCAATGCAGTCCCGTCGTTCCACTTCTGCCGCCCAAATTTGCCATTTGTAACAATATTTGTCATCTTCTGTTTCATAAATGCGGCCCTATGTCAATTTTTGTCAGGCAGCCGGATTTTCAGAAAATTCACTGTTTCTGCCATTACCTTAATGGATTTAAATTAATTACAGGGGCTTCCCTGGTGGTGCAGTGGTTGAGAATCTGCCTGCTAATGCAGGGGACACGGGTTCGAGCCCTGATCTGGGAGGAACCCGCATGCCGCGGAGCAACTGGGCCCGTGAGCCACAACTACTGAGCCTGCGCGTCTGAAGCCTGTGCTCCGCAACAAGAGAGGCCGCGATAGCGAGAGGCGCGCGCACCGCGATGAAGAGTGGCCCCCGCTCGCCACAACTAGAGAAAGCCCTCGCACAGAAACGAAGACCCAACATGGCCAAAAATAAAATTAATTAATTAATTTTAAAAAAGACAAAAGAAAAAAAATTAATTACAAAATATTTGCCAATGGATTTTTAAAATTGCTTGGGCATGAAGAGTCGTTTTGAGATAGTGGTGATGCCTGATGAAAATAATGGTGAAAACAAGGAGTAGGATGCACGCCCACGAGGAGGCTCCACCAGCATCAGCCCACGCTGAGTGTAATCACTACAGAGGAATCGGACTTTGGGGAATTTACATAGAAAGGAGTCAAGCATTGCTGTGGCATCTACGGGAGTGACTGGGTTCCTTACCTATGACCACTCCTGCACTACCTGAGCTGCCGGAGAAGAGGGTGGGCTGCGAGGGGAAGAGCTGTTCCCTAGAGGCAGTCCATTTGCCATTGGCAACTATCGTTGTGCTAGGCCTCCCCATCTGCCATTGTACACGGTACATCGTTCCCAGTACAGTACATTCAGTGCAATGGGCACAGTCATCTGGCCCCCTTTCCGTCTGTATGATAGCGACCTGGAACCATGTGGCCTTTAACGACTTCCTGGGTGAAGACACCCAGGGAGCATTTTCTAGAGACCACTCTGTCACCATTTTGGCTTCTTACTATAAGGGCACCGCTTGTATAGGCTCTGGCTCTTGTATAGGAGGACAGCAAACAAGAGAGTCCCCCATTTAATGCCTCAGAGGCCCTTCTGATGGTTCAAGCCTCAAAGAAGGGGCAGGGAACTCATCAGGGCCCTTCTGGTGGACGATGGGAAACTCCAGCTGTCATAGGCTGGTGTGGCATCCTTTGCTAGGTTTAGAGTATTCATTGAGAAAAGTGAATGTTATCTTATAGAAATTTCCAAGGATTTAGTCTGAAGGGTCAACAAAGCACAAAGGAGCAGACAAAGCTTGAGGAGAGGGCTTCCAGGAGAAGACCTCCGAGAGGTCTGTCCTGCTCCTTCTCCCTCAACTCCCGAGATTTTCCCGGAGACATGGATTTGCCGGACAAGTGTTAAGAACCCGATCCACGCCCTTCCTGAATGATAAATGCTACTAGGTAAACACTGCTCTCCGAACTACTACAAAAGCAGAAAGATGGTAAGGACTGTGAGGTAAAACACCATTTTATGAGAACGAATTTGAATTATTAGACATCGATTTAATATTTGATCATCTCTCTTCCATGAAATGGGGACCAGTGACAGATCACTGGGTCGCTGAAGGAGGCTCGCAATGGGGACTGATGGCGTGGCAATGCTCCACAGTTCCCTGGCTCTTCCTTGTGCCCTCAGGTGGCCCGGCCCGAATAGATTGAATCTGGGAACTGGGGCAGTACCGCCACTACAGGGACACCACTTTAGTCCTTCCTCCTTGGAAATGAGGAGGGCCCTGGAATGACAGTGTTTGACCACTGGGAAAGAAGTCTGTTTCCCCACATTCCTGGCCCACCCTGGGGGAAAAAGGGCTGGTTTGCTCCACTGGAAGAGTTACTAATTCTGAGAACTCCAAGTATGTGAAGGGATATTTCCGATCAAATTATGCCGGGGAACACAGATGCCTGTCACAAAGAGCTTCGGGTCCACAGGGAGACGGGCAGCCTAGGGCCAAATCTCCTTATTATACTGAGTGGATCTAGCGGTCATTGGTCTTTTCCCACCTTTCATCTCTAAACAACAAGGATCCAAACAAGTGTCAGCTGATAACTTATTTCCGACATCTTATCTGTGGCAGACTGATGCCCTATCACTGATGTTAAACAGTAATCTGTGAAATCAATTGTGAGCAGCAGTTATGGCCATATTGCCTCTCTGCTCTGGGCTGCTAATAGGCTCCCAAACTGGTCTTTGATGGAAGTAATCTCTAATTTTGAATGAATTTATGGCAATAATTATCCAGACGGAATGGTTCCAGTAGCTGACACGATTGTTGGGGAAATGATAGGTGTAAGACAGAAGGACTCCATCACAGTGTTTGGTAGGGAAGGCTGGGGTCATGTGAGTGAGGACGGTACAAGGAGGCCTCCTGCCTGACTCTGGTACCTTCTGCAAAGAGGGAGATGGGAGAAGAGGTACCAGCCGATCGGCATTAACGCGTCCATCCCTAGCCGGCTTTTCCCAGCACAGAGCTGCCTGGGGCTGGGGGGCACTCCCAGACAGCTCATCTCTCTGGCCTCCCCTGGGCCTCTGAGGAGTTCAGCATGGAGCTGCTAGCCCTCAAGCTTCATATTAGCGTTGAGAAATGACACCAAAGAGGAAGCGGCTGCTGAGTCATCCTGTTGAGGCCAAGGGGTTGCTTTCCAGGGAAATCTTTTTATTTATCACCATCAGAGCTGGAAGTTGCCCAGAAGGAGGTGATTTGGCTCAAGGGATAGGGGTCTCTTGATGCCCCTTTTAAATTCATTTGCTTCCTCTTACCCTTCACTCAGCGCTAGAAGTTCACTTTCGCCGATTTTTGGTCATCAGTCTGAGTTGGAACAAAGAAATGTTGCTAAAAAGCTCAAGGAGTCACCCCAAATCTGGCGGCCTGAGCGCCGCCCTTTATCCCACCCTTGTTATACTGGTGGTCAGAGACTGCCGTCAGGACAGGACTCAGAGACTCCTGTTTCTTACCTAACATTCCTCTGGGACAGGACCCCCTGCCCCCGGGCCAAGGGTTCATTTGGGATTTCTTAAGAGTCTGAACAAGCAAAGTATCATACAGCCAAGGGCAAACTCACTCCTTAGTGCTGGGAGGTTTCTGGGGGGGAGCTGGTGAGATGCAAGGTGGTAGCAGGCAGATGGTGGCCGCCTCCTCCTGGCGCTGCTTCTTCTCAGGGATTTTCTCCGCAACTTCTGTTGGCTTTAACAGGAAGAAAAAATACACACAGTTTGAAATCCATGGCACACGCAGACATTTAAAAACAACGAGCAAGGGAGACAGCTGGCTTCTACTTTAAGTCCTAGACTAGGTAGGGGAGTTAAAAGTGCACCTTTGATCAGACAGAAAAGCGATCAGTCTTGCCTCGCCTACTCCAACCAAGAAGCTGGCATCTGAGAGGGTGAAGCTGTGATGTGAGCCTCTGATCGGGTGGCACAGGGATATCATACCGAAAGTGAAGAGAATCTATAGTTTTCAGACACTTCTTCCAGCAACAACGCCTCCACAAATGAGTAGTTTAGAAACTAACACTGCAATTCTAACACGGCATAAATCCCGTCCAAGCACCCTGGGGGGTTAGGGTAACATATAAAGGTCACTTCTACAACCAGAAATATGCAAGGAAGTTAACCATATGCAAGGCACACCTTTGGACCTTCAGGTACTGGTTCTGAAGGTCCACTTTTACTGCTGGTTGTGCTGCTGTCATCACTAAGAGCAGGGAAACAGTCCCTTGTCCTATCAGACTCTTTGGTCCTCCTTTGGACCAGACTTTGGTCCCTAGTTTGGAATACTCTCATTGAATAAGTCGGTGCACAGCTCAGAGATAACACCGTCTGTGAATCTCTAAAGCTGGATGATGACTTAAACCACCCTTGCAGGATTCCCCATGGCAGTCATTCAAAATAATATTACTCAAATATCACCATGAGATGATGTTACACTAAACGACTACTGTGAGATCCAGAGATGCAACACAACGAACTTCCTGGACACAAACTCACTTCCCCAGATGGACGTGAAATGGAAGAGGCCATGCTGGGTTTCACCTTATGATTATATCTGTAGCCCTGGAATCCAACCCTAATGTCTTGCAGGTGAGGTTTTTACGAGTCAAGCCGACCACACAGGTCAGGGGGCCAAGCAGGCTGGCCAGAACGTGTGTCTAGTAGGAGCCAGGATAATCAACATATAACTGGGTTGCAGGGATGCTGATGTTTGGATGGAGAAATGAATAAGGCCTAGAGGATGCATGTTGACCTTAGGAATCCCTGGTGCGCTGCTGCTGCTGGTGCGGTGGGGGACTATGGAATAATGACCCAGGAATCTGGCTGCCTGGGGAAGGAGCCTCTTCATATTCTCCATCACTACACATCACGTGCCATATTGGACGCTCTTGACGTTGGTTGGCAAACCTCGATTAGCCCTAACACTTCCTCCCTGGTCATGTCAAATACTGCATTCCCCACGGAAAGCATCATTGCCTTCCCCAAAGACTGCAATCCACTGTCACCAGCCTGCTGGAAAAGGAGACTCAAGACCAAAGTAGCTCCCAGACAGCCGCGGCTCCCGATCGCGTGGCAGGCCACACCCGACGGCTTACCTTGTGCTTACGCTTGCCCTTGGGGGCCGCTTTATCCGCAGCAGTGGCGGCAGCTGCCTGCCGCCTGGGCTTTGAGGCTGTCTCCTTGTGGTCCGGCTTGGCCGGCGCCGCCTGCAGTGAGTTGTGGCCAGGCACTCGAGACAGTAGGTCGAGGTCAATCTTCACCCAGAGATTTTTCAGATTCTCGTGATCTCGGAGAGGAGACAGAGGCTCGGTCTGCATGACAGGGATGGGTGAAAAAGTAGGCTCGTCACTGGGGACGGGCGGGTTGCTGCTGCTGAAGGTGCTGAGGGTCAGGCTGGGCCCGCAGGTGTCCTTGGACTTGGCAGTGTTGCCCCCAGGAGCCATGCAAGGAGGCAGGACTTTGATCTGCAGGGTCTCTTCCTGATCTGTGTTGGAATCAGACGTAGACGAGTCGGTTTCAATGAATTCCCGGGACTTCGGCACGATCTTGCCGGGCCCTCGGTACTTCTTCTTCTCGGCGGCCAAGGGGATGCTGGGCCTCGGTTCTTTCCTAGGGACCGGCTTGTGGGCGGCGGCTTTGCTGCGGCCTCTCGGGGGCTCAGGAAGCTCCATGCTTTCCTTTTCTTTGGGAGTGCTGCTGGAGATATTTGGTTTGGGCCAGGTAAATTCCTCAATGCTGGGGTTCTTCTCCACCCTCTTGGGCTGTTTTTTGCCAATTGTCCTTTGAGATGCTGTCTCGAGAGTTGTCGACAATTTATGCTTCAGAGCCTTTGTTTCTGGAATTTTGGGGGTGGGCCGTGGACGGGCTTTCTCCCTGATAAGACTGAGGAGAGGCCTCTCTTTGGGTTCAGCCAGGACCTGGCTGGGGTTTGGCTTCACCTTGACCTGGACTTCCATTGGCTGTATGATTGGAGGAGGTACAGAGATCGTCTCCATGGGTGTTTCATTTTGGCCGCAAATAAACGACTTGTTCTGAGATGTCACTTTGTTAAGCCATTTGTCCAGCTGCCACTTGTTGGTGGAGGGCGGCTCAGGCTGCAGATTGAGAAACAGTGGCAAGAATGAATTTCACCTTTGGAAGGAAGTCAGGAGGACCCTCAGTGCACTGACTGTTGGGTGATAAAAGCTTGGGCTGTTAAGTGACCATTCACACATTTAGAAACATACACGGACTTCACATTCATCACGTTCCCTAGATGGCTCCAATCTACTTATTTAAACTAAGTTCCACTGCTCTTCTGAAACTATCCCCTACTTTGGCCAGCAAGGAAGGAATTATTCACAGAGAGTTTTTCCAGAGAGTGGGCAGGGAGGCCTGGGAGGGAATCTGGTTCCCAAAGTCCTTTGGCGGGACTCATTACTCAACCTCTTACCAGGAGGCCGAGGTAGTGATCTCTGGTCCTGAAAAGAAATGTAAGCGTGCCTCAATTGTAATTCTAAAGGAAAGGCTTTCTCTCTGCCAGACTGCCAGGGCCTCCTATATGATGCAGTAATTCACTGCAAAAAGAAGAGGCCTTCTGTATTTTCACTGAAGGATGAAAAGATTTGACTTCCAAAAAAACACTGCACTTTCCTCGGTGTATGGGCAATAACCAATTTACGGGGACACGCATGCAGACATTAGCGTCCGCCGTTAAGCCATGGAAATGATGCGTCAGTTCGGGTGCTTGATTCCCAAGTCTGAATTCTGCCTGTTGAACTAAAAGAGCCATCATTTTTATTAGAACTCCTCTTTTTTGAAAGGCATCAGCTGAGGCTTATGGCGCCAGCCAATAGAGGGTGACAGAATTCAAAAGACTCTGAGTAGCCGTGATTCCAACCCGCACAGAGCAACGGCAGGTAAGTGTCAAGGCAATCGGAGCGGCTGCTACTGTCGGCAGCAGAGCGCGAGGTTAAGGGCCCCAGCTCTGGTAGCACACAGACCCTGGTTTCAGTCCTGCCCGTGAGATCTTGGGAAAGTTCTTTCTTACCCTCTCAGAACCTTATTCTCTCATCTGTAAAATGGGATAATAATAGCAAGGACCCCATAGAGCTGTTATGAGGATGAAAGGAGAGAATCCGAGTCACGAGCTTCTCACAGTGCCCGGCGTGTGATCTACATTCAAGAAGTGTGAGCTATTATGATTAGCGGTAATGTTACTATGACATCTTCTTCTGTTATTCTTTTCTGATTATTGACAAACAAGCGTGTCCAGAGCCGTGGAGGGATCTGTTTGCTGTACGAGGTGCAGGCTCAGGGGAACTGAGAGGCTGGTACTCAGAGAGGATGAGAGGGGAAGGACAGGGTTTTTAACTCCAAATTGTAATTCTGGTATTTTGTGGGGCTGTGTGAAATGTTTTCATGAATTACCATCGAGTACACTTGAAGAATATTAATTGAAATTAAAAAAGAAATACCTGTGACCTTTCAACCATCACGCTTCTTGGGTCTTACTTGCCGAAGGACTTTCATCACTTCAACCTAGAGAAAGGGGTGGCGTCCCCAGAGCTAGAAGTGGGTCTGGACTGGCTTTGCTGATTCTCTGGAAGGTGAAGTTGCGAGCCCAGTGATTACTAGTCCAGTGTAATAGTAACGGGGAGGCTCAGGGCTCAGAGTGGCTGAGTGAGTCGCACAGCGAATCAGTCACACGGCAAAGAAATGTCTGTTAGGGACCACGCGAGTACACGTGTTAGAAGAACAAAATGCTATCGAACACCTGAGTACTTTTCTGACGTGTATACTGTGCTGAAGCCCTCATCGCGCTGGAATACTGTGATTGTTGTATTGTTGTGTGTGTGCGGGTCGGAGGTGCTGCCTCGGGGCAGGTAAGCTGTGGCTGGGGCCCCGGCCCGTCACCCACCTCTGGCGTGGCCACGCGCGGCGCCTCATTGGCTTCACTGTCAGTGGTGCTGCTTTCAGTGTCTGAGTCTGACTCTGAGCTGCTCTCAGAGTCACTGGAGCTGCCGGATCCCCCGCTGGCTGGCGCTGCAGGTGTGGGCTGAGGCGTGGCCAAGAGCGGGCTGAAAGGAAAACGACACCACTTGGTCTCAGACCAGCTGGAAAAGAGCCCAGGTCAGCATACAGGCTGATGATTTGTGAGGGGCAGGTGAGTGGAGCTTGCCATCCCATTTCACAGGAGGCCCCGGGAGTGACCCACAGGTCTGTCAAGGGGCTCTGATCTTAGCTATATGCACAGTACTGTCCTCTCGGCAAGAAGGGGCGAGTTGAATCCTCGCTTTCATCATGGGAGACTGAGGTTCAGAGAAGTGGGAGGGCTTGCCTCAGCCACGTAGCTATCAGTAGATACAGAAGTGAGACTGGGACCGTGGACTCTCAGGTCCCTCGGAGGGCAGGGCTGTGTAAAGATATTCGCGGCCAGGTGTCCAGCGCCCGGCCCCAAGGTGAGCAGAGCTGACCGTGTGAATTAGGGGATGATAGGACGCACTTCTCGGCCTCCTCCAGCAGAATTTCTGTAAACGCTTCTTAGAACCCTTACCAGGAGGTATGATCATAAAGGACCAACCGTCTCTAATGACTGATTTTAAATCTGTAAAGCAAGGCACTGGGAAACGGACACCACTTGCCGCTGTCTTTATGGACAGTCCATACTCTTCCTTACTAATCGTTTGCCCTCTGTGCCCCGTGACGAATCAACCTCAGCTGCCTCTTGGCACTCTGGGGCATGTCATAGCCTTTCTGTCCTTTTGCTCATCGTCTCTTTGGACTAGTTTTCTTCCGCTTTCACTCCAAAATGGGGCTCTAAATTCGAGGGGGGTGGGGAGGGGTCTTGTCCGTCTCTGTCTCATCAGCCCAGGCCCCTCTTTGGAGAGAAGTTTAATCACGGACAGGGATGGGCTGGGGGCCAGAGCATATTCGCTGCTGGGCCGGGCTGGTCCTCCTATCCGCCTGGCTGGCCGTCCAAACCTCACTGCCTCTCAGACTCCCAGCTCCTTGCCCAGCTCTCCCTGGAAAACCCAGTCCTGGCCCTGGAGGGCACCTGGTCCTGTGGCTCCACCTTCAAACTGGATAGAGAGGGACTCTAAGGCCCCCCTCTGCCAGAGACCATCATTCCTCGCCTGCCCCAACCCCGCACCCTCACTGGAGCCTAGCTCTCAACATTACAGCTCTTGCCCGCTGAGCCGGAGCCATGCTCGGCTGCTGCCTGGGAAGGCCTAGGATCCCCAACCAGCATGGGTGTCTCATCCGTCACCATCCAACGCGTACAGCCTTTGCATTACGTGTGCCTCGCGTCCCTGAAGACGGCCCCTTTAATCTCCCAGGTAGCTCTTTTCTTTCATATAGCCGAAGCTCATTTAAAAATGCTATCTGCTAAGTAAATGCTATCTGCAAGTTCATTCGTCTGCCAAATACACCAAGAGATTAGGGGAAGCAGAAGAAATAGGGGACTCTATCCCCTGGGAAAGTGTGTGTGTGTGTGTGTGTGTGTGTGTGTGTGAGAGAGAGAGAGAGTGAGAGCGAGCGAGAGAGAGAGAGAGAGAGAGAGAGAGAGAGAGAGAGAGAGAGAGAGAGAGACACAGTGGAGCCAGGGATCTACATACGCTCAGTGCGCTTCGTTCCCTGCATTCCTTTTTAGTATTTATGCATAAAGTATCCTTGCATATTTATGCAAAGTACCCTCTAAATCTAATCAATTGTTTTTGTCTTTCGTTACTAAATAAAGACTGAGGGAAAAGCTTTAAGTGCAACTAATCCAGAGGCTGTGCCTGCCTGGCCTCAATTCCCCCCAAGTAAAGTTTCAGACACAGCACAGAGCAGCAGCAATACTCAGACTAGTGCCTGGTGGATTGAGAGACTTAAGATCTAACTTGTACTCCCATGGTTATGACTTTCACGTGAAAAGGCTGTTTCCTACTTTTCTTTCCTATCTATACATTAATTTATGGTTTGTGTGTGTGTGTGTCTGTATACAGGTGTCCCTTATCCAAAGCCTTTGGAAGGGAGATGGATTTTGATATTCACATTTTTTTTAATTAAAAAAGCAATATGGTAGCTATACCACATCTATAATACTCCCCAGTGGGATCTGGGAAGCACCCTTTAATAAAACTCATTCATACTACTGCAGTTAACAGTCACAATGAGAAAAATAAAGACTTGAAATTATTACGTGCACATCAGTTTAGGTCAGGTTTTGTCATCAAATGAGTCTGTCTGAAAATAACAGTTCTCAAAACTTTTTGAATTTCAGAATTGTGATTAAGAGATTGTAGATGTGGACAGAAACCACATACGAAAAATTGACCGTAAATATATGTATAGACGCAGATACGAAATAAAGATGATTTGAAACCTAAGAGTGGCCTTGACTGAGATCCAGTGAAATGAGAACTGAAATTATTTTCCCTAAGTCTTCCTACAGCTAAACCTATTGCTGTGTTCTAGGGAAGGATCTCACGGCCAGTCAACGTTGACAGTGACCACTTAGGGGAAACAAGTATAGAAAGAACAGGGAGAGGTACGTCAGCTTTTCATGCTCACACTGATGGACAGAAATACTTGGGGATGAGCGGGACGGTGGACTTGAATTCAAAGAGGGCCCCGTGAGAACTCAGAAGGGGGGTGAAGGACTTCAACATCTTTATGAGAAAGAATTGCTTTCTCAGAGCAGTTGCACAGTTGGAAACAGGGAAGAGCCAGCATTGGTGGGAGGGAAACCCGTTAGCTGTTCAGCTACTTAAATTCCCACTTCTGCTACATTTATTTTCATATGTCGCTAGTTTATTTTTCAAATGTATATTAAAGTGGCTATGAGGGATGCTAGCCCACGTAATGCTCGATTCCGCCTAGGAGATGAAGGACGGATGTGCAATTTCCACATTCGTCATTCCCCAACTGCATTAGACTTATTTCCCATGCACCATTTGCTTTCATATTTTAATAAATTGCTTTTAAAAAGAATGCTAGTGGTTACAACAGAGATAATAGGTGATACTAAAAACCGTTAACATTTAATATATGAAACCACCTACTCCATAGTCTGTAAATATGAAAAGTGTACTCTGTGATTTCACCCCGAATGTAATAAAACTTCTCAAAGGACCTACGTTTGTGAACAACTTCAAAGTGAACTGCTCAACCTTTTCAAAGATCAGATTTTGCCACTGTGCTCATCGGGTGAGCAGTCTGTACTGAGCGGAGCGAAGCCTCATTTTAATCCTAATCCCATTTGGTAGGTCTTCACGGTCACGGGCCAGACTGAGGGCAAAGAAGCTGCCTTAGCAAGTCAATGACCCTCGTGGGGAAATCCAGGGCTAGAGAAGGGGATCAAAGAGCAGGCCAGTGGGAGAGAAGTTTGGGAGGTCTTTAAGATGCCTTCTGCAGACAGCACTGGCCCTAGTGTGGAAGCTTGAGAGTACTAGGGGGAAAAGATGGGATTTTTTCGCGTGTTTTTTTTTTTTATGGTAAAATTTAAGTTCTTAAATGTTCCATTGCCATATACATAAACCAAAATTAAAATTAATTGCTTAATTATATTTACATAATATGCACCAAAGTATTATGATGATGGTTTTGACTGTCAAACGTTTCTATATTTAATTTCAAATATTCCCGTTTTTGAAAGGCGTTTTCTACCTGTGACATAATGATGTGATTCCACACAGTTTGTGGAGTTCCCTCCGCATATAAATTCTGCAGTTGTCTTCTTGCTTGGTTAAGGTTGCATAAACGCCAGTGCTTTTAGCTGGGACAGAGATTGGATCCTTGTTGGAATGGGAGTAATCGCGTAAAAGATGGGTTTTAAGAGGTAGTTCAGGCACCTTAATCTCTAGACATGACAGTCTCTCTACGCTTACACCGACCAGGCCTCTTGTGCAGTCAGGGGCTCAATATGTATGTGACACCATTAGATAGACAGTCCGGAAGCCACATGAAAGAACTGGGACTACTCTGCCTAGAGGAGACTCTGGGGCAGGGAGGGGGGCGGTTCATGTGAGGACAGCTTCAAAAACCGGAAGCTCTGTCCTATGGGCAAGGGAGTGGGCTACTTCTGAGAGTCTTCCAAGGTAAAACTAGGACCAAGGAATTAGAGATCTAGCCAGGAAAGGTCTCACTTCAACATCAGAAAAGACTTAAAAACCTACAGCTGGCCGCACAAAGAAGCCACTGCTTTGTGGGCCAGGGAGCTTGATACCCTCAGGTGACCAGATAGCCGGCAATAAGGATTCCTATTATCGATCCACAGAGGAGTTGGATGATCTTTAAGGTGTCTTCCAGCTCAAACACTATGATCCTCATGAAATGAAAGTGCACAGGGGATTTTAAGGGAGATGGTTTGGACCTTAGAGAAAATGTGTGAGGAGACCACTTCCCAATCCAATCTGCTCCTTAAGGCAGGTCTGAAATGACCTACTCTCGGCGGCACAGTCACAGAGCTCTTGTATGAACCTCAGAGGATTACAGCTGCCTTTCTGTACGGCTACTTCATAAATCAGAGTTTTCACTAATTCAGATTAACGGTCTCCGGAAAACCAAACATCTGCATCAGTGCTATCTGACTCGAATCCTAATTTAACTGTAAATTCCTCTCTCAGGAGATAAACAGGGATGATGAATTGGCCATTCTGCTCAATCAAGCTGTGTGGGCATCAGAAAGGAAAGGTTCCAGAAGGGGTAATGACTTTGTAGTGGGAAACATATATGGGAAGGCTTCGACAAGCAAGTCCACAGGGTATTCATCTCGGCAGCATATTTCACAAGGCCCAGACCTTGCCAAAGAGACGTAGCATGAGATGTTTGATGGGGGAGTCTATCAAGGATGTTGTTAAACCCTCGTCTTCAGTTGAGACTTGTACGAATTTCATCAACATGACCCTTTTCTGGTTTTATAGAGACCAGATAATTTGAAATGCTTCTATACTTGATTCCATCATCAAGTTGTAAAGGGATGGCCCTGGGGCAAAGGAATCAACATTTATAGCTGATTCTTCCTCTCTTCCTCCTTTTCCTCTCTGAACTCTGGGTTCCAAAACTGGAACAATCTATGTGCCTCACCTAGAGG